GGCACAAATACTCATTCATAAAACTATTAAGCTTTCTTATCCTTTGTTGACATTCACAGATGGTCAAACTAATGCTTTGTTTGTATGTAGGACTACGTAGCATGTTTACGAAGTTAAACTTGTGAATCAGTTACATAGAAATTCCAGTGAGTGAACAGTGTTTCTTAAACTTGTGAATATGGCTCCTAGACGTACATTTACTGTTAAAGAAAAAGTGGACTTCATTTTGAGACACAAATTGCAAAATGGAGAAAACAATGTTGAGATCTGTGTAAACAATTTGGAGTTTCACATTCTACATTATCAACGATGTGGAAAAACCGCGCTAAAATTATGGAGTGTTTTGAATCAAAATCCCTGAAAATAAAGAAAAATCACAAAACACCCGTGTATAACATAATTAAATAAATGATAAGTAAATATGTACATGACTTTTTATTATTTCGGATATAGAGACCTCCGGATATAGCGACGACATTAAAGTGGTCCCTCCGCCGTCGTTATAACCGAAATTCACTGTATTTAAAAAAATAATTTAAATAAGATAGGCACAGGCCGAAGTTGTCCACACAAATTTAATAATATTTGTATCAAAATATTCATTTAAATTATAGAAACATTTTTCAATTAAATATAACCTTAATTTGGATAAAAATAATGTAGTATTCGTTAGATTTTTTATGTTATTTGGAAGGTTATTATTAATTAAAAGATTTAGCTGTCATACAATAGGGACTAGACTAGAGCTATGTAATGCAAGTGTAGATTTTGGCAATAGTAGCTTAAAACTACTTTTACGGATTTTATCGCGTTTTATTAAGCTATTGCATAGCTTCTATCGCGGGCCTTGAGCGCGGGGACCGAATCCAGAAATTCCGTAACGAAAAATACCACACGCTCCCCACTCCGACGGGCACGGAGGTGTGCCTGTGGCGTTGAAAGCCGTGCATCGTCTAACGTCGTTTTAGTTCGGCAGACTTCGGCACTCGGCAGACTTCTGCACGGTGTTTGTGTGCGTGCGACTAGACGTATGCGTGTACACTAGCTGCTAACTCAATGATAAAAATTCCTGAATAACCTACATGTATTGTAAGATATTAAAAATATTTTAAACAATATTAACTTCTCATTTATTCAATAAGAGAAAAAAAATTGTTTTCTTATCGGTCACCACGCTCAAAAAGTGTAACTTCATTTAATATCAAAGACTTAACTGCATAAATAAAATAAATAAATAATTATAATTGCATAAGTTGATAAAAAATGCTATGCAATAGCTTTACCGCGGCAGTCACCGAGTGCCACACGTCTTTTTTTATATTAATTTTAATACCCGACGTTTCGGGTGCTTTCCAGCACCCATGGTCACGGGGGACTGAGGTGACTGACGTTCCGATGTCAAAGTTAACCCGGAGTACCTTCAGCTTTTTAATTATTATCTTTGGTCCGATCTACGCAGAATGAACTAACTGTATTTTGAAGTCTTGCAGTGGTATGCTTGGGTTTAGTTTTAATTTTATTAATTATAGGATCCCAAGCAGGTGGTAGTACCCAGCCTCCTTCTCTATTGAGAAGGATTGAAATTAAAATATAATAAAAAAATTGATTAAAATTAATATAAATAAAACGCGATAAAATCCGTAAAAGTAGTGTTAATCAATGTATAGTGTTCGCGTAAATATAAGAAATCATTAAATAGTAGCTTATTTTTATTTGTTCTAATTGAGTATTTGTTATTTGTTTCACTTAATTTGGTGAATAGTTCTGGGTGTTTTTTACAAATCTACATGTTTCCCAAATACAAATAGATGTCAAAGTCAAAATTATAAATTTTTTGAAGTGGGGCTAACAACTTTCTGGAATTTTTGTGTTTGCCAAGATTCTTATAATTTTTTTTGCATTGTAAACTATTGCTGTGCACCTTTACTATTTCCCCACAATATGACACCGTATGAAAGCCCCGAAGATGTGTATGCGTAATACTTATGCGGACAGCGCTAGGGACATCTGTGGTTTTCTTATTTCTCGTAATACGTAAGTGAACTTTGATAGCCTATTTTTTACTTTATTTATATGGGCTTTCCAGTTTATATGGCAGTCGATTTCCAAGCCTAACAAGTTGAAATTGTCAACAGTTCCTATAGGTATAGATATATTATTATAAGTAAAGGCGATATTTAGTGGTGATTTTTGAACTGGTCGGAATTGCATAATTTTGGTTTTATTAAAATTAATCTCTAGGTTGTGATGTGTCAGCCAATTCGTAACCTGGTTCAATACTTGATTCAATTTATTATTTAGATTCCGGTCTTTTGTGTGCGGAATGTAGAATGGAAATGTCATCAGCAAATATAATAAAGATTTCAGTCAATACCCTAAGTAGTTCGTTTATATAAATAATAAATAGCAAACATCCCAAAACGCTGCCCTGGGGGATGGAGCAAGTAGTGTGGCAAGTAGTGTACTTCAGATCTAACGTTGCATATTTCGCCAGTGTCATGGTTATAATGCACTATCTCTACATATTATTTACGGTTTTTCTAGTTAAGATTTAACCATTTATATGCCATATCTCGTATGACATCGTTATACTTTATAATGAAAATATACGTTATAATGCACTATCTCTACATATTATTTACGGTTTTTCTAGTTAAGATTTAACCATTTATATGCCGTATCTCGTATAACGATGTCATACAGCTTCTGTAACAGTATTGGGTATTGCACTCTATCGTAGGCTTTGGACATGTCTAATAACATACCTACGGCGTATTTCTTTTCATTTAAAATATCAAGTATATAATATATAAGAAGTAGGTATATATTATAAATAAGAAGTAGGGTAAGTGCACCAATGAATGAACACCCCCCAGTGAATGAACAAAAGTGAGTTTTTTCAATATAATAAGAAAAGTAAACATTTCTACCAAACACTGTTTTTTTTTTTTTCGAGTGGTCTAATTTTTTTACGTAAACTGGTCACACAAACATTTGCCAGCGACCCGTAGTTACAAAATGGTGACTGCTTAAAGTGGACGTGTTGTGTTGTGTTTCGTGATTGTATGAGCGAGAATTTAGGACTCAGGTAAGACAGTGCATTTTGGTATTAGCGTTGTTCACGTTATATGAGTGACAGTGTAAAGAAAACTGCATAATAAGATAGAACAATGATTATTTTATTCATTAGAAAAGAACTTGTTTATAATTTCATGTGTTTAATAAAAATAAAGGGGTGTTCGATTACTAGATCATGAAAGTGAGAAAGTTCTAGTAAATGAACGAGTGTTCATTCACTGGTTCTGGTCTGTTTTGTTACTTTTGGCTAATTTTGCATGTTTCTGTTCTCAGAATTGGTTTATTTTTTGTAGAAAGGTTTAATTATTGATTGTCTACCTTTAGGCCGGTATTCGAACATCCTAGTGTTCATTTACTAGTTTTTAAATCTAATGAATGAACTATAGTATTGTTGCTACGTTCATTTACTGGTTTTCAAAAACCAATGAATGAACTATAGTATTATTGCTACGTTCATTTACTGGTTTTTAAAATCCAATGAATGAATAAATAAACTATTAATGTTTTGTTATATTTCAAGCAGTGATATTTAGTTTTATCTCAGTAATTAGTTACAAAAAATATTCAGACGCTTCAACTTCAATTTCTCTTTTTTTTTAGTTCAAAAATAATGGAATCTACTAAAAAGAAATACGCAAGATTCCGTTATACTCAACAACAGTTAGAGGAGGCTCTTACCCGTATAACAAATAACGATTTGTCTATTAATAAAGCCAGCAAAATATACGACATACCCAAATCAACGTTAAGTAATAAATTAAATAATAAAGTACCATGGCAACGAAAAATGGGTCCATTAACACAACTAACTTTCGACGAAGAAAACAAGCTAGCAGACTGGATTTTAACAAAAGCTAAACTTGGGTTTCCAATGCACCCGGAAGAAGTTTATGATACTGTGGAAATATTCTTGAAACAAAATGAGAGGGAGAATAAATTTACAAAAGGCCGACCGGGGAAAAAATGGCTTACTTTGTTTTTGCGAAGACATCCCGAAGTAACTAAAAGAAACGCTGAAATAATATCAAAAGCTAGGGCAGCGGTTACAGAAGAGGCCATCAGAAATTGGTTTACTGAATTGAACAAGTTTTTAGAGGAAGAAAATGCCTTAGACATTAAAGATGACCCGACTCGTATTTTCAATTCAGATGAAACTGGCGTCATGACTTGTCTTAAAACGGGGCTGATTTTGGGGCCCAAAAATTATAAAAATACATACGAAATCGCAAGTGGGAAAGAAAAAGAATCAATCACAGTCCTATGTACATTCTCTGCTGATGGTACTGATGTACCACCGTTTGTTTTGTATCCATATAAAAGAATGCCACCAGCCGTAATTCAAAATTTCCCAGATACTTGCTATATTGGCCGTTCCGACAGCGGGTGGATGGTATCAGTTGTATTTTTTACCTACATTAAGTTATTTTATGAATGGTTGGTAAAAAATGAAATCCGGTTGCCTGTATTGCTATTTCTGGATGGCCACAAGTCCCATATCAATCGTGACATGTTTGATTTCTGTCGTGAAAAAGGAATAATGATTTTCTGTTTATATCCCAACTCAACTCATATTTTGCAGCCCTGTGATGTAGGAATATTTGGACCGTTGAAGAAAAATTGGAAAAGGGTAGTGAGAAAGCATAAACAGGCATCCACTGTACCTATAACAAAACAAAATTTTGCTGCGTTGTTTAAAATAGCTTACGACAGAAGCATTAAGCCAACTACGATAAAAAATTCATTTAGAGTTTGTGGTTTATATCCAATGTCTCCAGATGCAGTTGACTACTCACGCTGCATAAGTAATAGAAGGCAAGAAATTGCGCAACAAAACCAAAAAAGGCACCACAACCTCTAGTCTTCATGACCAAAAAGAGGATCTACGAAGTACGATCAAGGTTATAGAAGGTGAAGTTGGCCAGATGATAAGAAATGAGTTTGTCATGTCTTACAATTTAAACCGTTCTCATCCCCATCAATATTTTGAGCTGTGGAAAAAATGTAGAAATCAACTTGAGAATAAAAAACAGAGTGACACGATAACACCGAATACCCCGATCATTCCTCTTGATCTGTCAGTATCATCTATAGAAGCGTCTACTTCAAACGAGGACGATTCCAAACTGGAATCAAGCCAGGCACTGGAAAGGAATAGTGTTCCCGAAATCGTCGAGTCTGAAATTACAAATGTGGAAACTGAAGAAATGCATGCAACTAATAGTTCAATTATAATAGATTCGGCAATCCGACTGCCATCGGATAATTCCATATTATTGGGTGAGACTAGTATTTTACCCAATTTACCACCCTTTGATACAACTGAAGATGTCATAGATTTTATTATTCAAAATGAAATAGACATACCTGATGTGATACCATTGCCATGGTATGATACTTTAGAAATAATAGTAGAAAAAGACCCCATTATTGACGCTCCTAATAAATGCTCTTCTCCTCAGAATAACGCATCATCCATACCAGCCATTCCCAGTTGCAGCAATAACACTAATCAAGCAAAAAATTCGCTTGAGTCCACAGTTGATAGACTGCAATAAAGTCTGTAATAGATCCCACTAATAGTATTAATTCATCGAATGATACGAATCCATCCAATCCACTAGAAGGATTTTTGAAAATACCGGATTTACCACAAAAGAAATTTAAAGTTACAAAAAAAATGCCTGCACCTTATGGATTAACAGGGCTCAAATACAAAGAATATTTAAAAAATCAGGACGATGAGAAAAAAATTAAGGAGGAAGAATTAGCGAATAAAAGAAAGGAACGAGAAGAAAAAAGACTGAACAAACAAAAATCTCAAAGCAAAAAACGTGTTCAACTGAAACGCCCAAAAAATCCCCTTAAAAAGCAAGCTAAGAAAATGAAAGTAGAACATGATGATCACACACAACCTGCCGAAGATTTTATAACAACAGATAATTTAGAAGCAAGTGAAGAGACTGAAATAGAAACTAGAAGAACTACTACGACTTGTACTGAATTTAAGGACAATTTATTTGATAGATATGTACTGGTTCAATTTGAGAGTGGAAAGAGAATGCGTCATTTTGTAGGAAAAGTGATAATGGTAAATGACAATGAAAGAAAATATAAAGTAGATTTTCTTAGAAAAAAATCCGTTGTGGAAAATGTTGTCAATTTTGCAAAACCAATAGTGCCAGATATTGCAGAAGTTGATTTCGATGATATTAAACGTGTATTCGGTACACCGAATATTTCTAGGCGCGGATTAATTTGTTTTGACGATTTAGTATTTAAAGATATTGAATAATAATTGTTTTAATTCTTTTGATATTTTTTATAGTGAGAAAAAATGTACTGCTGATTACGCTTATCTCACACTTTATGGTTAGTTTTTAAATTAATAATACCATTAACCGGTTTAGTTATTTTTAGAATGTGAAGAGATTAAGGTATCATATTTTTGTTACGCTTATTGTTGATTAGTTATATTGTAAGCTTAAGGTTTAATTTGATAAGTTTCATAAAAATTGTTTTTATTTGATTTAGGTACAACATGTTTTTTAATCTTTGTTAATTATATATTTTTATAACCAATGATGATTCTAGTCCGCTATTGTTTTAATTATCTAGGTAGAACATAATCAAAGTTCTTAATTAAAAGTGATACCTAAAGCCTAATTTGTAAGAGTAAAGACTGAAATAATGTATCTACTAATGTGATTACCTAGTTGGAATTAAGAGTAGTATGTCGAATAGCATGTAACGGCTACGTTGATTATTCTGTGATTTTAATGTGCCTACAATTTAAATAAAAGTTATGTTTTCGTTTTATTCTCTTTTTATTTTTTTTATATTTCCCACTGTGTTTTTATAAATATGCCTACACCATCGCTTTCAAATTCATAGTTATATTATTCAAAGAAGTATATAAATTATAAAACCTCATTTACATTTAATAAATAATCAGAAACTTGTGATTTCTAGCTTAATTAGTATCAACAGAAAACGTTCATTCATTGGAGTTTAAAATGTTCATGCACTGGATTTTGGTGTTCATTTACTGGTGATTTTGGGTGCTTTGGCATAAAATGTCGATTATCTTAGTAATTATGTCCTTTAACGGCAGATTGCCCATATAATATTAAACTTGAATAAATTTTGAATGTAATAGAGTGGCATTATTAAAGCACAGCCACCCATATATAGATGCTTATAATTTTCAAAGTTTGAAATTGCCTTAAGGGTTCATTCATTGGTGCACTTACCCTATATTACATATATATATATATAAGAAGTATCTTCAAAGAGCGTTTCAAACGAGTTTTCGGTTTAAACATTTGCTATGATCCCGTTGCGCATTGTTACATTTTCTCTAGGTAAGGAAATAGAATTTTTAGAAGTTACTGTAACCGAAGATGGTTTTTAAATATTTTTCTTTAAAGCCGTCCGACAACGGTCGCATTTCCATTTTTCCTTACATTCTTTTTTCATTAAGCTGAATAAAGGATATGAAATATTTGCACATTCTAGGTCAAATATCTTATTACAAATTGAACATGTCATAGATTGTCTCTTTTTTACATTTTTATTGCATTTTGCACAAATCTCCATCTTCAAGTGCTCTCTAGTGGCGGGCTACAGTACTGCTTTGTTGAATATATCTGATTTCAAACTCTGATTTATATCGAATGCAGCAACTGGTACAATCGGTCGCCGCCAGGTAACACTATTAATTTGCTTATGGCAGTTTTTTCTGGCGTTTGTGTATAGGTGTCGCTAGTGGTAGATATTCAAGAACAACTGATTGGTCAATTGATTTTGTTTATATTTGCTTTTAAAAGTGCAAACGGGCGGGTGAATTGATGATTTGATGATGAGTTTTAACTGTTTAATAAATGCTTTAATCACTGATCTTTTCTTATAATAATTTGGTAGTGTCGCCGTTAGATGTTAAATGGAGCCTATAACTTTATTGATGTAACATAATGCTCCTGCTTTATCTTTTGATCGAGTGAAGCTATTGTATATAAGATTGAGCTGTTAAGTTAAATATTATAACGGTTTGTTTTTAAATATTATATAGTTCATTTATGATTATTCTTTGTTACTATTTCACAATTCGAACATTTTTCATTATTTACACTTTACACTTTTTCATGTTACACTTAGCACTGTATGTGGGTTTTTATTATAAAAGTTTGTTTTATTGACGCGGGTTTTAAATTAGATTAAGTACTTAAATGTTTCTTTTCATATGAAATAATATTTTTGCTTTTTAATTCACAATCACTTAATATTTCTTTAAGATAACACTTGCAATAATAGTTTATATAAGTACTTATTACTTTTTTAATGTAGAAAAAGGAAGGAAATTATAATTTAATATATTTTTAAACTTAAAATAACACGAGAGCTGATGTGAACTTGGCAAAGCGACCTCTGTCTCTCCAATTTTATTTATTAGTATACCTAGCAAAAGTGTTCATAACAAATTTTACAAATATTGAGGGAGTATCTACAAAAGGCAGTCTTATTACTGTTGCACTGTTGCAATAAGACTGTTTTCCCTTTCGTCCAGGCAACCCGAAAAATAATTAAAAAATGGGGAGAAAACCGAATTGCAAAAGAATATAAAGATTATAGATAATCACGAAGTAAAATGAGAGAAAATAAATTTCAAAGAGAGTAGAAAGTAGCGTTTTTTTTTTCAAAATCTATTTGTCTTTGAAAGCATGAGTCATAGATGCATTGAGTTATACAACACTAGAGGAGCAAGCCACATTACCGCGCGTCGAAAAAAGTGTAACCACTATCCAAACGCGACGACGTAGCTTTGAAACTAATAACAATTTTAAATAAACATATATCTATCTCACTTACACAAGTTGCGAAAACAATATCGTCGCTAAGATTAGATAAAGATGGACACACAAACGTGCAATGGCGGGTTGGTGTGGCTTACTATATGAAATTTTACCTAAAATACGCAATAAAAATGAGTTTTTTTTAAGCTGCAGTTAATTGTTTTTATATTAAAAAAGTATATTTTATTTTATAATCTTTGTTGCGTCCCCTTAGAAAAAAACGGATACAAAGCTTATCAGATAAATAGAAGTAAACATAATGATGAAATAAAACATATTTTTATAAGTATTTTTATTGTACTAATAAATCAAACAATTTAAAAGAGGTAATAAAATATAATTAATATAAAATTTATATGAAATTATAACTAATATATAATTATTAATATAAAATAAGTAGGTCATAAAATATATTTAATAGATAATTCATAAATAAACTAAAATAAGAATAATTTATTACTTTGTATGAAAGTTAAAACGTGGTTTTATTATAATTTCCAAAATATTTAAAATCAGAGGTAACAAATTAACTTACTCCATTAATTATATAGTCTCCCATTAATGTAGGATAATCACAAATGCGGAAAAGTGGCAACATTGAACCTAAATGGCAATATTCGATAATTTTATTTAATTATTTGAGGTTTTTTACGTTTATATGAAAACAAGAACTAAAAATTATGTGTTGAAAGTGATCCCGCTTGATTTGTTACGTTTGTGTGACCTTGAATAGCATTCTTTCACTACGCATTTACCCATTTTTTGTCGCGGCTCAACTCTGTCGGCGTCACATTGAACACTGAACTGACGTTAGCTAGGCATATGGCTGTGGCCATATGTGCAGTGGCAACGCTTTGATGCGGTTATTACTGATCTAGTGTAATATATAAATCAATGCATAGATGCATCAAGAGTTGCCCGTACTTAGCGCACTTGATCGGCCTTTTTCGTGCGCCATCGGACGTTGCAATTGTGTTGGTTTACGCGCTCTCTTTGTTTTGCAAGTGTTTGATTCGATCGTCAGAGTTCGGCCATCGTCGCCTGAGCAAACTTCGGCCGATGACGAATTAGGTGTACGCGAACCGTAAGGCGGTTTGACGATCACACAGTCGAACCCACAGAACACTAATACCCTTAGGCGGGAAGAATGTCAACTTCAAACAAAGAAAATGGCACCCATAATGCACGCCATCTCTGTCGTACCCCACTAAAACTTTTTTGCGCGGGAATTTTTAAACGTGATTTTTTTTTAGTTGGCGTCTTGGTTGTTTCGTTTCAAAAATGGCTTAAGAATGTAAAATACCATATAGATAGATATAGCTTGTGGTTTTTCGTTTCAATGATATATATTGCTAAATTAAAACGAAAACAAAAGTACAAAGTTATTTGTAAATTATGGTACTTTACATTCATAAATCATAATGATTTCTTATATTTACGCGAACATTGCACATGATTAAAACTACTTTTTTTTACGGATTTTATCGCGTTTATTTTTACTTTTTATTTTTAATTCCCGACGTTTCGGGCGCTTTCCAGCACCCATGGTCACGGGGGACTGAGATGACTGACGTCCCGATGTCATTGTTAAACCCGGAGTACCTTCAGCTTTTTTTACATACAAATGTGAATATATTCATATCTTTATGTTCTGGACATATTCTATATTCATATCTTTATGTTCTGGATATTTATCGAGAAACTCCAAATTTATTGAGTTTTTGAACAAAACTTTAATTGTCCCTTTTAATTTTTTTTTATATGATTCTGCCACTAAAAAATCATAAATCATCGTAGCACCACTTTCAATACAGTTGATGAGGTTTTTAGGAGCGTATTTAAGGGACTTTTTTAGATCACTATATTCTTTAAAGTCAATAAAAGTATGTGATCTCTCTTGTGTCTCAGATGCAAAAATTTTTTTACAAATTTCACATTTGTTGAGATTATTTTTTACTATAAATCCACAGAGATAGGCACATACTTGTATTTCGCCACTGCTTTCTTCCAAGCTACATTCAAATGTAGAATTTACACTTTCTTCTAACTCATCGGTTAAAATTGTGGCATAAGCAGTGTGTGTGTCTGTGGGTGGAGACAATAAAGTTTTAAAATTTGTCAATATAACTTGATTTTGGTCTTCTTCACAATTTCCTGTCCCAATAAAAGATAAGTTGCTAAGGACAGCCGTTTTAAGACCCGCAACAAACTGCCCAACAGTGGGATTTGAATTGCAGCCGCAATTGGCCCGAATGCATCCAAAAAAGATTTTCTAACAGGTCATGCTGGAGCCTTCTTGTTTCCAAACTTTTTATTGATTTATGTTTAGAACTGAGATTTCTCCAGATTCGTTGTATTCCATTGATGGACCATATCCAACCTTCTTGGGATGGAGGGGTTCGTTTGCATGCCAAAAACGTCATTTCTTTAAAAAATTTCTTCATTAAAATGAAATGTTTGGGATGTGGTGTATTATTTGTCATGTTTGTCGAAAATGGTTTCCCTCTTCTTAGGTCTGGTGTGCATGCGTTGACACAATCAAACAGCTTGTCCATATTTGCAATAACATTAGCAGTAGTGACGGCCTCTGAAGAGAGTTCCCTTGTAAACAATACATAATTTAAGATCTTACTATTAGGAATAAAGAAATATAATTTAAAGTACATTACAAGACAACTCAAAAAAAATATCACATATCACACAATAAACAATAATTTGTACTTGGGAGAGCCTAGTTCCTTTTTAAGTTAATAATTATTTTAATGGGTGGACATATGTTTAAATATTATACTTTAAATTATAAATTTAATTTACCTTGTGAAATTTTAGCATACATTCCTGCAGCAACTGAGTGGCTTAACACTTGTGCATCTAGCTTCACCTTCATCTTCTGCTTTGTATTTGGATTTAAATGTTCTTGTTTTAAGCAAGGTGCAAACACAAAATTGGGACTGGTGTTATCTGTTTCATAAAACTCCTTTATATGGCTCCATTTAGCATCACCTGTAAAAAACATTTTAGTAAATATCCAGTAAATTGGAAATATGTATAATATTATGATTGTAATAAAACAAAATATCTTACCAAATCCAATTTGATCATTTGATGTTATATTTGTTGGACATTTAATGTCATATTTTAAAAACATATTTCTAAAGCATTTGAGCAAATGCGGAGTATCAAAAATGGTAACCACTTCTCGATTACTTAGCAGAATATATGGCTGTTCTACAGATGCTCCCAAGATACTTAAAGCTCTCTTATTCACACCATCCATATCACACACTGTAGCTGAAATATTAATTCCAGCATCAAAACAATGTTGCAGGACCTAGAATGATAAAAGGGTAAATTAATACGGTAAAAAAGTACTACTACATATATTGACATAATAACAAATAAAAGACCATAATGCTCACCTCCTTTATAAGAACTGACAGCCTATCTGCAGTCACAGATCCGCTAGAAAAATAATAAGCAATTGGTTGTTTCAGCTTTTTACGGATTCCGCCAATCATGAACATGAGGGCATGTGTTGCCATTTGTGGTGACCTGCCCTGCAATGCATGGTCTTGATAACCCTCAATTATGTCCTCCTTTTTGTTGTAAAACAAATTCTTTTTTATTGACATCTCATCAAACATAAGGATATACTCATTGTCTGAGGGAGTCTGTTGCTTTATTGTTTTTTTCAAAACATTAAAAATTTGGTCATTAATACCAACTTTCATGTGAAACTTGCTTAATAACGCTTTTAATGAACTAGGTGTTGGCAGGCAAATCATCTTTCTTAATAATTTGTAACACCTAGGTGACATTTTATACAGTCTTAGTGCTATTATTTTGGAGTCCATGTTCCATCTTCGACCTTTTGATTTTTTTTTATAGTTTTGCAATTCTCCTTGCAAAAATAATGCAAAAGAGGGGGATATTTTACATTTTAATATTTCATTTACTGAATCATTTTTACTTAATACTTTGAGAAATGCTTCATTCTTTAGATGCTTTACAGTTTTTTGAAGCCTGTTAATTTTTCTCAGATGATATTTCATTTTTATCAACATATCTTTATCCTCTTTGTTTTTCGTGGATGGATTTGCAGCAGCAACAGGGTTAATATTCTCAGTTACTTGAGGAATAGCACTAGTTCTGTCAGGAATGGTCTTATAATGCACATTCTCACACAAGGGTTGTATACATTTTGACGGACCCGCAACCGGCTCAAATACATTTGGAACAGTTATAGTCTTCTGAATATTTTCAGACAGTGGTTGTTTAGTAGTTGATGGACCCGCAATATGTTGAATGACATTCCTTTGTTCCAAATTAAGGTCAGCTAATGTGATCTGAAAATTAGAGATTATCAAATCATTATTTATATCATGTATCCCAGCATTGATCAACCTATCTCTAAATTTCAAACAGCCTTATAAATTTATAAACATTAAATACAACTTGTTTTTATTAATGAATGTTGCTGTAACCCATTAACACCACTACTTACTTATGGCTGCGAAACTTGGGCACTTTCTAAGCAGCACAGAGATATGCTCGAACATTGTCAAAGAGCCATGGAAAGGAGCATGCTAAGAATCAGAAAAATAGATAAGCAAAGAAACACACACATAAGAACAGGTGTGACAGATATTCTCACCAAGATAGACCAAATGAAGTGGAGATGTATAGGTCATATGCAATGGAGCCCTCAAGATAAATGGAGCTATATTATTATTATTATTATATAATGTGATCTGAAAATTAGAGGTTATCAAATCATATATCATGTATCCCAGCATTGATCAACCAATCTCTAAATTTCAAACAGCCTTATAAATTTATAAACATTAAATACAACTTGTTTTTATTAATGAATGTTGCTTTAACCCATTACCACCACCATGCTATATATTTTTTTAAAGTTTATATCTTTTGTTTTTTTATGGTTGAGAAGTAATGGTAGGTTACATCGCATACCCTTATAAATCACCACTCAATCTGTTACCACAGTTTGTTAACTAGAAAATATTTTCACTGTAGTATGAGAAAAGCCACACAAAAGAAAAAAATGTAGATAATAACAAAAGAAAGATTAACTAACCTTATCACATTCCTCATCAGGTACTGCAGATTTGACTAGCCTCTGTCCAAAATTATCAATGAATGATGATTTCTTAAAATGTTTAGTGCACAACATTAAATGCTTAGAATGAAGCTTGTTTTGAAATTCTGGTGACCACCAAGAGTCATGAGGAAAACAGTACTTCGCCCATAATTCACATCTGAAAAAATACAATTAGATAATAATATACTACTGAGGTGCTAAAAACATGCTTGGAAGAAGAGTGCAATACAAGAGATTGTTCCTTTCAAACAATGTGATTGTATTGTATACATATATAAATATTATTCCACATGTTATTTCTATGTGTACCAATACATCTATAACTACTTTATTATGTTATGATTTCTATGTGATACACCTCATGCTGTTCTGTATAATTTCTTTTTAATTTTCAGATTTATTTGCACACGTTTTTAAATCGCTTAATATGTATCTTAGGTTTTATTAGCCGATGCGGCCCATAATAATTTTTATTTCTGTTACTTTATTAATTCAGTGGTTCAAATTTAAACATTTTATAAATGTTAATCAGTAACCAAAAAGCTATTTAGCATACGTACCGTAAGCTATTTGTTCTCCCAGGCTTAGGAAAATGATGCAAGGTGATGTTACGATCATGAGCAGGAGAACATCCACACTTGTAACATTTCCTTTCGTTTTCTTTCATGATGAAAGATAAAATTGAGTCTCTGTCTCTTTAGCACAATGCATAGCACTTGTTTTTGAGTCTCTTTCTCACTGTAAACACTAAAACGAAGGAATGGGATGTTCAACTCAACGTTAGTAGTGTAAGATATAAGTTAATATCAAAATATAAACTTAATTTGCAACACAAATAAACAAAAACACAACCGCAAGCGCAAGGGATCTGCCATTTGTAATTTTGTTTATTTGCCGTTGCCATAACTTGCCTTTTTATTATACTATGCAGTTTCATATTCATACATTTTGTTACTTCAATAAAGACGTAATAAATATATGTTTAACGATTATTATATATTAAAGTATTATAATGATTAAATAAAAAAATTATTAAAATGATGTGTCATTTAAAAATAATATTTCTTTCATGGCAAGATAACATAAAGTGCGAGGGAGCTAGATATTAATCCATCTCGCTTCCTTAAAGCCCCCCAAGGTCATCTCCCGGTACCAATCTTTTATTAGGAAGTTGACTGGCCCTGGTCGAGCCTCGAGACTCGTGTTCGCATCGATTCTCCCCAACACTGGCATATGTTAGTGGCCATGATAAGGTTGATATTTGGAAAAAAGTCTTTATACTCCCCCCTATGAGTACAACTCTGTCACCAGATGATTGAAAGTAAATGGGCAAATTTTAAACGAAGAAGTTATTGCTGCCGCCAAACAGCAGTGCCTGTACCGCTTTGTTCTGATCTTGAGGGTATAGGAAGCTAGTAAAATTACAGGCATTCCATCTTAGTCCTCAAAGATGACAACGCATCTTTAGCTTTCATTTTTTAAAGATTGTTGGCTGCAGGTGTACATGGACATCAGTAGCCATTTACCATCAGGTGTAATGTGAGTTCGTTTTTTCCTACAGTTTTATATACAAAGTTAAATATATTATTAAGAACGTACGTAAATAGTGAAGGCTGTAACACGAAAATAAAAAACCGAAAAGAATAAACCCAAATGTAATTGAAGCACTTACTACAATAAAATAGATTTTTCTTTAAAGGAAAAGGAGTGACAAGTGAGCACACAGTCCATCTGATGGTAAGTGGTTGCTGTGGCCCATAGACATCCACATCTATCCTCATTTGCGAATCAAAATGCAGATGCGTTGTCAGCCTTGAGGACTAAGACGGAATGCCTCCAGTAAAAAGGGTCTCCGGTTCTCTACACTCACCATAAGAAACACAGCAAGCATTAAGCTGCTGTTTGACGCTGGTATTCTGTGAGAGCGTGGTCTCTCCCCGGTCGAGCCGACCCATTCGTGCTACAACTATACGAGTACAATCAATATAGCTGCAGCATGGCTCTACCACGTAAAATGCATAATATACAATTACAAATTTACTCAAGCACGTTATTGCGGCGTAAAATTTCCACTACCCCTTATTTTCCGTTTGGTGTCGTAGAAGGCGACAAAGGGAAACAAATCAGGACAACTAAAAAAAAGGCAACTGTCACTAATAATTTTTACTCACTACACAAACAGAAATTTAACATATATAAAAAATATAATTATAATCGATTATTAAATAAAATAACGTCCATACTATGAGGAGGCCTATGTTTAATAGTTTTTATAGGACGGTAAAACTTTTCTTCCGCGTGATCTCGAGTAGATCTGTTTTACGATTGTGTAAATCTAATCGCCGTTGGCTTTGTTTCAACGTTTATCATTTGTTTTTGTTGTTTTGTATCAACCAATGTATCGGTGTCGATCGGTGTCGGTGTCGCAACGAAGACGGGAGAGAGATCACACACAGGACCAACGGCTTTACCTGCTTTCCGAAGCACGGGGGTGAAAAATCGCCAACTTCCTGATTCCGGGCTGAATCTGGGAAATCACAAGTATGATGCATGTGAACTGAACAAGAAAAAACACGAAAATAGAAAAAAAATTGTATGCATTGTGCGGAGTACCAATTATAATCTCTTACTTGCTGAGAAAAATCTAGAAAGAAACATGAATAGGATATAAATTCAAGAAAATTAACAGTTACGTAAGATTTTTTTTTCACTTCATAAAGTTTCGTGCGATGCTAGAATGCTTTAACAAAGACTGTGGTAATATTCACAGTTGTGTAGTATTGTTTTTAAATATATTACGAGAAAAAAGCGTTAACTGAAATCTTCTAGAATTTTTTAAAATTTTTTTTGCAATTTTTAATAAAGAAAACGTACTAAAAGTATATCATCTTTGCCAGATTTTTATAGGCAAAGCAGAATTTTCAACATTTTGATTAAATAACAAGATCCGTGTGATAAAAGTGGAACAAAAAATACCAAAATAACAAGTACTTTTTAATTAGAAAACGTGTACCTACGTTTGTTGGTCGTGCCGCTGTGATTGTACTATAGTAGCAATGCCATCAATGTACGTTCCTAGCTTGGACATATTGAGCGAATGAGAAGAAAATAGGCGGTAAAGAGACCATATCTGGGTTAATCTTCTGGGCGTGGGAAGACCCAAATATCGCTGCATAGAACAGGTCGCGAAGGACATAGACGAGCTCTATGTGCACAGATGAATCGTGATATATAGATGCGTAATCGGAGATCAAAATCAACTTTAGGTCCCTGTGCCAGTGCAATAAGTACCCGTAGCCTTTACATATTTATTTTTGTACGTGGTAGAGCCATGCTGCAGTTATATTAGTAGTATAATTGTAGCACGAATGGGTCAGCTCGACCGGGGAAGGACCACCCTCTCATAGAATACCAGCGTGAAGTGGTAGCTTGATACTGCTGTGTTTCGTATGGTGTGTGTAGAGAACCGGAGACCCTTTTTACTGGAAATGAGGCGTTCTATGTTAGTCCTCACGGGTGACAACGCATTCTGATTTTTTTTAAAAAAATATTAGTAATCTTATTAATTAACATTACTAATATTCCTTTAACCACTCCTGGTAAGCTTGAAATGCTTGTGTTAGGAGTGGTTCATGACAGTAGTCAAATGGCGGATTCGAATCCGCGACCTTTTGAGTTCGCGTTCCGTGCCCTGCCATTAGGCTACTGTCGCTTATTTTGATTCGTAATCGAAGATAAATGTAGATGTCTATGGGCCACAGCAACCACTTACGATCGGGTGGATTGTGTGCTCGTTTGTATATGCTATCCTATAAAAAAAATTATACAATTTCCAGCAAAAAATAACATGATAAAGCACGTGGTTTAGATTTTAAAAATCCGACATAATGCTCGAGAGGATTTTAAAATAAATCAACATTCCATTGTACTTATTCAAGCAGCACGTGTTCATTGAATATTCAAGCGAAGTTAGGCACGATCGCATCTGGTGAAAAATAAAACCTTAACATTTGGAGGGTCACTCGAAACTCTTCCACCATATTTTATATCGCTAAATATATTATTCATGCTACATTTGTGAAAAGGAAAATATTATGTTTTTTGCGAATGCGTTTGGTTTTATTTTTTCGCGGTTAATTTATTTGGTTTTTTGTTTACGTCGAGTTACAAAATTATTACAGGTTTATACCACAAAATAGATATTTACAGTAAGAGAAGTCATGAAAGAAGAAGAGAAGTCGTGAAAAGTCAAAATGTGTCAAAAAAGGCACGTATGGCAATTCACAATGCTGTATTAGTCCCTACTTTAACGTATGGTAGTAAAATTTGGGTGTAGCAGAAGAAGCACGAGAGTAGAATAAATGCAGTAGAAATTCGGTCGCTAAGGAGTATGTTAGGGCTGAATCTGATTGACAGGGTGAGAAACCGTGTGATAAAAGAAGAGTGTGGCTTGCAAGATGATACGATAACCAGGATTAGGAAAGGAATGCTTCGGTGATTTGGTCATGTAGAAAGAATGAATGAGGAAAGACTGAGAAAGCAAATAAATGTTGTAGAAGTGAATGGAATAGTCGGAAAGGGACGTCCTAGGCGAAAGTTTGCGACCAAATTTGGCGATATATTAAAAATGGGCCAAATTAAGAGTAGGCACCCTTAACCGACGAGCATGTATGCGTAGGTATATGGATGTGGAGGAGGCGGGAGAGGTACGTCAGGATCGTGCTAAATGGAAGTCTATAGTCTCTGCCTACCCCTCTGGGTGACAAGCGTGAGTGTTTATGTTTATGTATGTGGAAGTCATGAGTAAGGCGGCAAACCGTCCGTAAGTAACGCAGTATGGTAGCTTTTATGGGGAGTTTGTATTTAACATGAATGCTTTTTGGAGCCAGATAGCAGAATTTTACCATTTAACAAAAGAAATCTAATATTTTATTATTTTACTCAATTTAAATATATCATCAACTTAACATACCAACAAACATATTATATTAGGTGGGTTAGCTTTACCCTAACATCGTTTAAGGCCCTGCGTATACGGTATACATACGCAGTATATATATTTAGTATGTATATTTAAGCACTCAGGGGTAAACAGTTTCCCAACCACACTGCTCAAAGAAGCAGGTTCACTATTGAAGCGTGTTTGCGGCAGCTGATACAATTCAATTTGAAATTTGGTATCAAGGACAGACAAGAAACTTTAAATTTGGCATCAAGGTAATTCATTAGGCGTAATTAAAGCGAAAAATCTGTAAACTAGAAATTACTGCTTTAATGACTTTGATTAATTAGACAGAGGCTGATAAAGGTGATGAGCAGCAGCATGCTTGTTGTTTTGGTGTTGCCCTGTCTGCGGGGTGGTGGGTTTTTTGTGGGCATTTTTTTTTTGGTTTTTTTTTTTTATATTTCTTCTCGTTGTTGCTTGGACTGGGTTGGTTTGGAAAAAATCTTCCAGACTAATACTGATAGTAAGAATGGCAGCGAGATTGCCAACCCGCCAAGCGTGGCTACTTTGGTGATATACTCCCACCCACATGAGTCTATCTATAGAAATGCCTATGTTCAGCACTGGACTTTTGATAGGTTGTGATAAGTTAATGATGTATTGATATAATAATGAATATATATGAGAAAGGCACGAGAATCTTTTCTCCTTAATAAGACAGA